TAGCTATTTTGGTTGACACTATTTTTTCTTTTCACTAGAGGGAGTCAACACACATTTATTATATATAGTGGTCACTTTGATTTATAATTACACTATATGGAGATACATGATTGTATTCATGTGATACAAGGATAGAAATCTGACATGCTGGTTTTACACTGGTCGATCGATAGATCATCTTGGGTATAGTCAGTCTGCTGTCAGGAGCATGTAGTGATCCTGCTCCATCACAGCTGCTGGTCTCTTTCCAGCATCCTGATTTTGGTTGTATTACATTATCCCTGTCTGTCCACCTGCAAAGTGGCTTATGTGTCCAGTCTCTGGGTCGAGATCAAATCTGATTTAAGCCAGCCAAGCCTGCAGTCTCATACTTGTGATATTGCATTTGTAACATGTGCTCCAAACTCCCTGTTTCTCTGCTTAGCTCTGCTAGTTTGAATTTCCTCATTGATGACCTTTAACTGTCTTTTGACTACAGATTTGACCCTGACTATTCTGAACCTTGCCTGCCTTGAACCTGGACTGTCATTGAACCACTTTGCCTGTCTGCCAGACCTTAGTACCTGCTTTCTATGCTTTTGCATCTGCCCCAGAGTGGTATCTAAGCACTATAGAATTGTGTATAAGTACTAAGGTAACCAAGTACCTGTAGACTTGCTTGCCTTATGAGAAAGGGGGCTTCTATTTGTGAAGAACACAGAAGCTAGCTATAGTGTCTGACCACCTGCGTTAGGGGAAACCGTGACACCTACCCAATATGGATCAAATCTTGACCAGTCTCTGCTGCACCAGCCAAGATTCCAACCATCTATGGCTGGCCCAACACTATCACATTTGATGTGGAAACAGTTCTCAGCCCAATGTAAACCTGGCTAGAGTGCCTCATCGGGCTTCCTCTCCTCCCTTTCAGCACCTGAAAGACCAGGTAGGGAAGTGAAACACAGGCTACACATGTACTGCTAAGGAATATGCATTAAAGCACACCTGTTACTTTTCTCTGCATGGGCACATGTTTGCTTTAAGAGTGTGTTAAAAATATAGCCAGAATATGAATACAGTAAGCCAAAAATGAGATCTATGATATGCAAAAATATAATAATAAGCAAGAAAAAAAACAGTAAATGCAGAAACAGAAGGCTAATTTTTTTTTAAACTCATCCTATTCTAAATTATTCAAACGTTAGTGTCAATAAAGTTCTAGAAGTCTTTACCTTGAAGTGAATTTTTGTAAAATGTGGAAAATCTTTAATATTATAAGACAAGTTTACTGTTCTGTCTAAAAAGGCTTTTCTATATCATTGGGAATTTTCCTGATATTTTTCAGAAATAAGAGCAATTTTAAACTCATTGATTACACAGGTGAAGTTTTTACTGTGCTTCCTGTTTATGTTTAAAGTCAACTGCCACATTTTCTCAGTTTTGATATAAAATATAAGAAACTATAATGTGCATCTGTTTTCACACAATAATTAAAACAAGGGGCATTGAAGCTTTAGTAAATGACTTCACCTGGCCAACAATTGTGAGTCTTTAAAACCACATATGAGCTAGGCCAGACATTCTAAAGTCTGGTCCTCCTTCCAGAGCATCCTAGACCTTAGTTGTGCAGTTCTTTAGCACTGCTTGCAAGTACTGTAGTCAGGGGCGGACTGACAACTCATGGGGCCCCCGTGTCCTTGCGCAAACTCAAAAAAGCCTATGAAAAAGGTACCAGGGGCATCTCATGAGGCCCCCTACTGACCCTGGGCCCTCGGGCAGTGCCCGAGTTTCCAAATGGTCAGTTCGCCCCTAAATGTAGTGATACTTGTCAGAAATCAAAGGACTAATTTCCAATACAATCCAGCCTTTCTTTGGGTAACTTGAAGACTGGTTTAAATTTTCTGTGGCCTTTTAGAATTCAATAATGTAATCAGATTCAGGCTGTATGTACTCTACATCTTTATGCTGTGTTAAAATGAATCTAAATGAAAATGTGCCAAAGTGTCCCTTGTGTTCAGCAGTAATAAATCTACTAGATATTAGACTGTAATACCCAACTGACTTGTGAAGCTGACAGATATTCAATGCAATATTTGGAATAGTGAATGAGACACAAATATGTTTGAAGTGAGTATGTAATTTTTTTTGTACAGCCACTTCTGTTGCTTAACCACTTCAAGTCACTTTCACCCCCCTTCCTGTCCAGGCCAATTTTCAGCTTTCAGTTCTATCACACTTTGAATGACAATTGCGCAGTCATGCAACACTGTACCCATATTCATTTTTTTGCATTTTTTTGAGACAGATAAAACTTTATTTTGGCGGCATGTATTCACCACTGGGATTTTTATTTATTTTTTGCTATATAAATGAAAAAGTCCAAAAATTTTGAAAAAAGTGTTTTTCTTCTAAAAGTTTGCAAATAAATAATCTTTCTTCATAAATCTTGGCCAAAATGTATTCAGTTATCTTTTTAGTAAAAAAAATAACACAAATTAGTTTATAACCAAAAATTATAATTATTTTAAAATTTTATTTACATTTTTATTTTATTTTTTTATATTATTATTTGTTTTTTTTTTAACATACTGTCCCCCTAGCAATACAGTGTCACCATAGTGACACTGTACTACTTGTGGGGGGTGATGAAGATTTTTGTTTTACACTGATTGCTTTTTATACCCATAAAGGCTGTAAAATCAATCATTTCTCCTTCTCTCTGGCTGCATTCTTGCAGCTATTGAGAAATACTGTGAGAGCTGTGATTGGTCACAGCTTGTCACATGGTACAAGGCTGTTGTGAAAAGCCTTGTACCATGTAACCTCTTTGATCATTCACAGATTTCACAAGTAGTAAGCAATGATGTCAGAAGAGACATCTTGCTTACTACTACTACTACTATTCATGTGATTACTGATTGGTGATCAGTAATCACATGATCGGGACCTCACACAAAGGTCCCATACAGCGATTGATGTTCCGCTGTGTCCTCCGAACACGCAGTGCTGCGTGCTCCCAGGAAGTGTGCATAGGCTGTGAATGCAGGTGCCGTTTATAAATGGCAACCCGCTCCTGCACTGCTCCCATCTGGCCTTTTATGTACATGGTGGGTAATACACAATAAGACTGCTAGCCCATTATGACATTAATAATGTTGATCCAATCTTGAATTTATTAACATATCACTAAAAGTACTTTTTAACTGCCAGCAGTGCAAGTCCCTAAATTTGACCAGGTAGCAGTCTCTGTACAGCAGAGATGGAGTGTGAGAGGAAGCAGCAGCCCAAAAAACAATCAGCTGATTTGCTGTCAAGAAACATGCTGACAGTAGGAGAAAACAGTGACATAGAGTTGAACTCATCACTGCAGTTGATTTACTAAAACTGGAGAATGCAAAATCTAATGCAGCTCTGCATAGAAACCAGTTGGCTTCCGGATTTTTTTGTTGAAGCTTAATTGAACAAGCTGAATTTAGAAGCTGATTAACTATCATGCACAGCTGCACCAGATTTTGCACTCTCCAGTTTTAGTAAATCAACCCCACTATGTTGCTTCTCTTTTGCTATCCAGTAACAGGCTGGGACGGGTCTAGGACAATCTCAGATAAAGTTGTATTGATGCTCGCCGAGTGGCCATTAGACTGATGACCTCTAGAAGCAGAAAAACAAAGTTTTGCAAGGGAAATCTCTGGACTGAAGCTAAATATTTTAGCAAAAGCTGTTTTTTTTAATTTAACTTTTGATGGGTTAATTCATTTTTGCTTTAACCCTCTGAGGACCATAAAGTTATGGAATGCCAAAAGAATCAATTTTTTGTTTTTAAAGTTCGTACACTTCAGTTGCTGTAACTAAGCCATTTCATGAAATAATTGGCAAAAAGCTAGATCCATTTGTTGATAAGAACTAATATTTTGACTCAAATCAAAAAAAAAAAAAAAGTATTTTAAGTTCTTAATCAGATGATACAGGAAATTAAAAACATGGGACAAATACGTCCCTTGGTCCTCAAAGGGTTAAGCATGGTAAATGTATAAAGCATTTATTAAACTTTACATAAAGACCTTCAAAGGACACTCTTACATTTTTTCTTTTAACTTCCATATTTAGCAAATATACTGTTAATATTTAAAAATCTTTTTTAAAACTTAAAAAATATGATTAAGAGCAAATGGGTTGTAAAAATGTCATAACCCCAACTATTTTTCAGCAGCAGACATAGAAAGCCTCTAAAAATGCTGAATTCATTACAATACATTATACCTGCTGTCAAAATTGTATATGAAACATCAGGAACTGTGTTGTACTTGTATTTCAACAAAATGCCTTCTTTAAAAAAACATAATTCAAAGAGATAACTACATGACATTGTGTACAGACAGCGTATTTAATCGACATCTAATGTGAGTGAAATCTTGGACAACATTTGTTTTAATTAAGCCTAAATCTCTTTATGTCATAGACAAAATGTAACTGGGCTTCTGTATCTATGAGTGCTAAAAACCGACATTTCAGTTGTACAAGTGTGCCTACAGCAAGGAAATCTGTGTATTGCATATTGTTTTATATTATCCATCTGCATAGATCAGCCTTTTTCAACCAGGGTGCCCAGACACCCTGGGGTGCCTCCATGTTTTTTCAGAGGTACCTTGGCGAAATAACTAAATCTTTATCCGAAATTGTATACAAGCCAGGGGTGGAGAAAAAACAAAAACACCTCCAACGATGGGTGTCCTATGTGTGTGGATGCTGCATTCTATAAAAACTATTATTAGTTTTTTTTTTTTTTTACATTTTATAATGGGGTGCCTCAGGATTGTGCATAATTGTAAAGGGACTGAAAAACAGTTAAGAAACACTGGCATAGATTATGCTCAACATGCAGGATTGTGGATACATTGTTACATTGTTATTACGCTATGCCCATCCTAACCATTAACTGCTTCTGCACCGCCCTGTAGCAGAAATACTTCTACAGGATGGCACGGGTGCACAAAATCACATATATATGCGTGAATTTGCAGGTCCGGGTAGGGGGAGTGTGCCCCGCCATTTGTGGCCTCGACTGTCAATCACCGGGTCCGGCTGGTGACTCCCCGGTGATCTCTGAGAATTACTGAGGGGGGAGAGACCTGTGTGTAAACAACACAGATCTCTCCCCTGTCAGCTCTGCACACTGCTTTGTATGGCTCTGGAGAGCCATACAAAACAGTGTGCTTACAGTGGAAAACACACACAGCACACAGTGCAACAGCACACAGTTAACCCTTTATTTGCCCCACATGTTAACCTCTTCCTGCCTGGTGTCATTAGTACAGTGTCAGTGCTTTTTATTAGCACTGATCACTGTATTAGTGTCACTGGTGATGTCAGTGACAGTTAGTCAATTCCCACCCAGTGTCAGAATTCCCGCTGCAGTCCCCGCTATAAGTCACTGATCACCACCATTACTAGTATAAAAGAAAATAAAAATAAAAATTCCAGTATATATGCTGCCATTTGTAGTCAGTTCCCCCCAGTGTCAGAATGCCCACCGCAGTCCCACAGTCCTGCTATAAATTTCTGATCGCTGCCATTACTAGTAAAAAAAATCTGTTTTTTAAAAAATTCCAGTATATATACCACCATTTGCAAATGCTGTACCTATCATGTAAACCAATTAATTTACACTATTGGGATTTTTTTTTTTACCAAAGACATGTAATAGAATACATTTTGGCCTAAAGTTATGATGAAATTATATTTTTAAAATGTTTTACTGGACATGTTTAATAGCAAAAAGTAAAAAATATTTTTTTCTAAAAATTGTCGGTCTATTTTTATAGCGTTTATAGCACACAAAAAAACCCACACAGGCGATCAAATACCACCAAAAGAAAGCTCTATTTATGGGAAAAAAAAAGTTAATTTCATTTGGGTGCAGTGTTGCATGACTGTGCAATTGTCAGTTAAAGTAGTGCAGCACCATATAGAAAACAAAATGGCCTGGTCAGGAAGGCGGGGGTTAAATCCTCTGGAGGGCAAGTGGTTAAACCTCATTATTGCAATTCATGCTTTATACAAGCAAAAATAAAGAAACCACTTTTTATAGGTTCTTTTGCATTTTCTATGTAAAGTATTTTCAGTGTAGGTGGGAACAGGGGTGGACTGACAACTCATGGGGTCCCCGGGCAATAGGGGATCATGGGGCCCCTGGGTCCTTGCCCAAACTCAAAAAAAGCCTATGATAAAGGTACCAGGGGCATCTCATGGGGCCCTTTACTGACCCCAGGCCCTCGGGCAGTTCCCGAGTTACCAAATGGTCAGTCCGCCCCTGGGTGGGAATCAGCTCTTTGATGGGGTTTTTAATGCCAGAGGTGTTTCTCGGACTTCTTGATCATGTGACCACTGTGATTGGATGCCACAGTGGTCATGTTTGAAGCCCTCCTACCAGCTTCCCAATCATAACCAGTGACCGGAAGCTGTTGGTGACATTAATTTACAGTGCTAGTTAAAAGCTCTGTTGGCATATACAGTATGTAGTGGCATGGCATTAAAGCCCACCACATATTTGTGTAGAGCCAGAGTCAAGAGGATTATTGCCATTATCCAGATTTGAATCTCTCTCTCTCGAAAACTGGAATGCCTAATGATCTAATTTAGGATCATTGGAACTATTTCAGCTGTGTATATTTTTCAGCTCTAATAAATGCCTTAAGGTAGTTCTATGTTAAATTCTCTTTTGAATTTGAATGACCTACCCTTGATATATATGTAAATTTTTCTGGAACGGTCAAGAAGTTGCATAAGTCATGTTTATGGCATTTTGTGCACTTTTATTCATATTATATCATATTTTGCTGGTTTTGTCCCAGCTGGGGAAACACCCTCTGTTTTCTTCCTGGTGACTATGGTCACTGTGACAGAAGAGTGATGGAAGTTCAAAATTTTGAGGCTGCCACTGGAAAAGGGGGTACAAGGGAAAATCTATAGGGGACACCCGTTATGTTGACAACTGTCTAAGAGAGGATTTTCCCTCCTTTTGATAATCTTTTATCTCCATATCTGTTGCATCTCAAGGACAGCAATGGAACAGACTGGGCAGACAGCATTAGTGCTCCATTTCTCTATTAAAAACACAAACAAGTTGTATTTATTTATTTCAGGTACTTCTATAGCGCTGTCAATTTACGTAGTGCTTTAAGTACATATATTGTACATTCACATCAGTCCCAGCTCTCAAGGGGCATACAATCTAAAGTCCCTAACTCACATTCATACATACACATACTAGGGTGAATTTAGACAGGAGCCAATTAACCTACCAGCATGTCTTTGGAGTGTTTGAGGAAACTGGAGCATCCAGAGGAAACCCATGCAGGAGAACTTGCAAACTCCAGACAGGTGATGCCGTGGTTGGGATTTGAACCAATGACCCTATTACTGCCAGGTGGAAGTGCTAACCATTTAGCCACTGTGAAAGATCAATAGTTCTTTTTTAGCACAAACATAATTCATGGCCTTACACATGTTAAAATGGCTTGATACACATATGTCTTACTAGTACATGACCTTTAAATATGCTATGGGCATGGCTTAAATAGTACACTATATTTACAATGTGCTTATATTTTAACACCTGGGGGGTATTTGTCAGGTTAAAAAGAAACACGTCATGAATAAAAAAAATGCATCCTCTAAACCATAAGCCCACAGTTGATGCAGAGATAGACAGGTTGCCGGCGGAGAGGGGGGATGAACTTCCACAATTCTTGTCTAGGCGAGAAAAGCTGAAGCGGGAGTCGGTATATGTCAGAAAAGGGTATCTACTCCAAGTAAAGAAAACCTTCCAATAATAGTAGAGGGGGAGGAGGAGGAGGATGAGAGGAACATTCACTTTAAGTGCAGTTCTGCATTAATGTCCCATGAAAAACCCCACAAACCGCCGCAACCCCCTCAACCTTATACATGTCCCCCTCCTAGCCGCATCCACTACCTCCACTCTCGGTTGCACTCCTGAACGCCCGATTGGTTTGCAATAAGCTCACCGCCATCCACGACCACTTTATCTCCCACTGCCTCAGACTCCTAGCGGTTACCGAAACCTGGATCCAAGCCACTGACTCCACCTCCCCTGCGGCACTCTGCTATGGAGGTCTCGTCTGGTCCCATTCACCCAGACCAAGCGGTCGCAGAGGTGGTGGGGTCAGCATACTCTTGTCACCGCTGAGCACCTTCCAGGTCCTCCCAAACCCCCCCTCTCTATCCTTCTCCTCCTTCGAGGCCCACTGCATCCGGCTCTTCTCTCCCACCCCTCTGAGGATTGCAGTAATCTATCGGCCTCTTTGACCTGTATCCCGCTTCCTCGAAGACTTTTCCGCCTGGATACCCTTCTTCCTCTCCTCTGAGCTATCCACCATAATCCTTGGTGACTTCCTTATCCCTATCAATGTCAACAACCCGGCTACATCCCAACTCCTCCACTTAACCTCTTCCTTTGCACTCACACAGTGCACACAGTCCTCCACCCACACCCTGGACCTCGTTTTCTCCATCTCTGCACCCTCCACAACCTCACTAACACCCCTTTCCTTCTCTCTGACCACAACCTCATTACATTCTCCATCTCCCCGTCCTCTAACACCTCCCCCACCAAACGTCAAACCATCACCAGCAGTAACCTCCGCAACCTGAACCCGGCCCCTCTCAACTCTGCAGCTGACCGTCTGTACGACAGTATCCTTCCACTGTCATGCCCTGACCTGGCCACTGCTGCGTATAACAACTCACTATCAGCTGCCTTAGACTCCTTAGCACCCCTAACCACATGTAGCATTAGACTCCGACCGCTTCAACCCTGGCAGAATGACCACACTAAAAATCTTAAATGATGCAGTCACACGCTGGAGCGACTATGGCGCAAAACCAGATCCCCTCGAGCGTTCTACCTCTACAAATCCGCCTTCCTCTCCTACATCTCCTCCCTTCACGCCGCCAAACAAGCCTACTTCGTTATCCTCATCAACACCCTCTCCACCTGTCCTCACCGGCTCCTCTCCACTTTCAACTCCCTACTCTCCCCCCCCCCACCTCCACCCAGTACCTCACTAACCGCCCACGAGATTGCCAATCACTTCCAAAATAAGACTGACGCAATCTGTAAGGACATCGCCAATGCTCAATCTACCTCCCCACCTAGCCTCCCTCCCACCATAACCCCATCAACTCCCCCCTCCTCTGACCTCACAACTGCCCTGCCCCCCACCACACCTAACACCCCGCACACTATAACCTCCCCAACACTCCTCTTCCATCTGGGGCAATAAAAGGGATAACTGTGTGTCTAGGGAGTGTTAATGTGTTCACAGTGTACTGTTTTTAATAAGGAATGTGCTGGTTTTTGTCTACCTGTTTTGCAGGGAGATAAAAACCAGCATGTCCCAGTTGTCAGTAGAGTTTTTTACAACACAGATCTCTCTCCTTTCACTCGCCCCGATGATCATGATTCATTGGCCGGGACCTGGTGATTGGCATGTAAGGGAGCTAGTAAGACTGCACCTAGGTGAGCGGGTGTACACCCTACCCGGAAATGCAATACCAGTACCAAGGTTTCCTGATCTTCTAAGGGCTGCACCTCAGTGAATGACAGTTACAGTATCCCTAGTCAGAATAAAGATTTGAGCGCTGGTTTCGTTTTTTGTATAGGCAGTGGTAAATTACATTTCCCTCCCTCCTCCTCCATGTCCTCATATTGCTAAACACTGTGGAGGCGGGTTAAAGAATGCTGATTGATTCCATTCACCTAGAAACTCACAAAAAAAGCTTAAATTTAATTTATAAATTCTAAGATTCAATTTTAATTTATTAAACATATTTAATATAGCAAATGCAATTGCTAATACCTTTAAAGTAAAAAAAGAGCCTTGGATGCAGATGCTGTCTGAACATAAAGAAAGCTAGTGTCAATCGTCTTTGACTCTGTCTACACCATGTTAATGCACAAACAATACATATTTGGTGTTCAATAAAGATTTATAGGGAGCTGTAAAACAGTTTTTCATATTTATAATTTAATTTGAATTGCTCTTTTGAAACAGGCTTTTTTTTAGACATTTGACTGGCATATCACCAATCAGGGCTGGCTAGACACAGACTAATGCAGGCCATAGATGGGTTGAAAATCGGCCGAAAATTCGTCCGAAAGAAT